GGAAACAAACATAAGCTCACATCTGAATTTTACCTCTGTAAGCAAGCATGGCTGAGCCAATAATAATGGAAGTACATACTTTTACATGTACATTTTAGCCCTTCAAAAAAGCATTGTTCACATCACAATGTTATCCCTATGAACAAGAACTGTTTACTTTTTTAAATTGTTACTATGAGCAAGCAAAGTTCATGCGGTCATGTTACCCCTGTGAAGAAACATGATTCACATTGTAATCTTATCCTTATTAGCAAGCAAAGTTCACATTGTAATATTATTACATTTAGTAAACATCTGGAGTAAGACAGGGATGTGTCTTATCACCACTGCTGTTTATCACCTACATCGACAGTATATGCAAGAATGCCAAGCCCATGAATGAAGATCTTAGTAAGATCAAAGAATTACTCTTTGCAGATGACCAGGCCTTGATAGCAGATACAGCCATGAAATTGCAACAACATCTAACATCCATGAATGAAGAATGTAAAACAAATAATATGAGAATCAACACTGAAAAGACAGAAGTAATGTCAATAGGAAAAAAGAAGACAGATCTAAACATAACAATAGAATACAAAGGCATTAAACAGGCATCTGAGTTTAAATATCTGGGAACTACATTTACCGAAGATGGGAAATTGGATAAAGAAATTGACATTAGATGCAGTAAAGCAAACCAAGTATTTGGGACAGCTAGCCCCCCTCTTACAGCATAAGACAATCCCAATCAGCACAAAGAGACATCTTATTCAAAGCATATTTATTCCAACTCTGTGCTACCAGTGCCAGACATGGTCACTCACAACAAACCATAAAAGAAAATTAGTAACCACGGAAATGAGATGTCTGAGAAGGGTTGTAGGAGTGACCATAAGAGATAAGATCAGAAATGAGATCATAAGAGAACAAGTCGGCACAGAACCAATTCTGGATTACATACAAAGACAGAAGTGAAATGGTTTGCCCACTTAGAGAGAATGCCTTGTGACACCATACCATACAAAGCATACATGGGAAGAGAAGAAGGACGTAGAGCACGGGGTAGACCAAGAACAAGATGGAAGGATAACATCAGAGAAACTCTACAACAGCACGATGTGCCTATGGTCGAGGCAGCCAGAAGAGCTAGAAACAGAACCTTATATCTCCCTCGACACCCACAGCGGTAAAAGAGGAAGTGAAGAAGAAGAAGAAGAGAAACATGGTTCACCTTGTACCAAAGACAATGAAAGGAATTCACAGTTAAAATCTTAATGTTACCCAAATGAGCAAGCATAGTTTATGCTGTAATGCTATCCAAATGAACAAGCAGTTTACACTCTAATGCTGTTCCAATAAGCGAGCATAGTTTACACTCCTTTGCTGTCAAAATAGGCAAGCACAGTTAACACTCTAATGCTGTCTAAATGAGCAAGCATAGTTTACACTCTAATGCTGTAAAAATCAGCACGCCATGTTTATACACTAATGCTGTCCTATTGAGCAAGCATAGTTTACACTTTAATGTTGTCCAAATGAGCAAGCATAATTTACACTGTAATCCTGTTCAAATGAGCAGCAAGCATAATTTACACTGTAATCCTGTTCAAATGAAAAAGCATAATTTACACTCTAATGCTGTCCAAATGAGCAATCATAATTTACACTGTAATCCTGTCTAAATGAGAAGCATAGTTTACACTGTAATGCTGTCCTAATGAACAAGCAAAGTTTACACTCTAAAGCTGTCCAAATGAGCAAGCATAGTTCCAAATGCAAAGCACAACTTATGGGTATAAAAGGCTGTTTTTCAGATCCCAATATTGTTTCACCCCTACACCTCACGAGGGACTCCCAGTTACTTCATAACCACCCTAATAAGACTGTTTTATTTTGTTGAACATGGTTCTTATCTGTCGTTTTTAGTCAGTGGATTCAAATGTGGGAAAAAACAAGAACAGACTCAACCTAGCCCTTCCCAACAAAGTTAGTTGTGTATCGTTTACAGGACGTTGCAGAACCCCAGCATTTTTTAGGCTGTTGTGGCTTTTCTAGGCAAATTTTACGTTCTGGATGGTCAGCTTTTGGTACCACTGTCAAACCAATGCAAGACAAACCGTCCACAGCTGGGATCGAACCCGGCACCGCTGCATTATGAAATGCATTTGCAATGCTTAAGCCACAGACGTTAACAAGCATGCTGTAAAAGTCGACTAAACAGGCGTGTGTCCTTTAAAGTCAGGATGCATCTGCCTGAGAGGTGACGCACCAACTGTCTACATACAAATAAGCTAGATCTGTAAAACAGCGATGCATGCAAAACTCAAGTTCTGGAACCAAACTAAAGTTCCAGAAGCGGATACATAGAGTTAACAGCTGATGAATGCAAGGAAGAGTTAACTCTTTGAGTCCTAGGGGGTGTAGCATCAGAGGCCCAAGGAGGAGCCAAGAGAGACCTAAAATCGGTGCATTTTACTGGGCCTCTAGGTAGGAACCTATGAACGTATGGTGCGTTGCTTGGGACTCAAAGATTTAATGGGTGTGGATCTTATTGAATGCAACCTTGCCAGTTATGATCTTACTGTTCTCACAGTACACATCCTAATGTTGTTACAGCTCTGGTCCCAACCTTTTTGCTTCTGAGTGAAGCTGAGTCAAGAATTGACAAAACAGCACTCGGGGCATCTTTTTGCTTCTAAATACCTATTTAAAAAATCCCTACTTTGCTAACACTGTCAATAATTCTCAAGAAATTATATCTCTGGTACCTGGATTATTACTCAAAATTACAGAAGCTTTTATTCCCAGGGAATTTATGTTATCCTGACACTTTAATGTAATAGCTGTATCATCAAATGCCAAACACCCTATTTTTTTCAAACTCTATGTTATAATTTAGGCATCCGTAAAGGCTGTGCAATTTCACTAGATACCTTGCTGTTCAATATATCACCCCCTTTCCGCATGCTAGTTTTAGTAAATTGGTAAATATAATTACATCCGGCCCTCCTAAAAAATGCACAGATGCAAACAGAACCAATACCACCAACAATACAGGTTACATAGCATATGCTAGAATTTATAACACTTGGCAGTGATTATAAGCATTACAGGGCGAAAGGGCTGAGAATAACTTTGAAAACTTTTTTCAGACTCAAAAGTTTATAACGTTATAGTAACCACTGCAAAGGATAAATAAAGTTACAGCTGTCTGCATCAGAAAAAGTTACAAGTGTATGAATCCTATTTCTGTGTTAGTTTGAGGTATTCCCCATTATTCCTTAACTCAATCAGTACCAAGCAACTCAAACAAGTGCTTACATGTTACAATTTAGTTATATGTTTCCCTCTAATCCCTGATTATACATCCATTTTGTTATTTCCCTCACTGTCCAAATTTCTCCTTAAACTAATTCACCCTACAGAGTTGCTATCTGAATCTTTTCGGAACCAGACACTGGCTTATTCTTCAGGTAACTAATTATTTGATTTGGACAAGTTAAACCAACACCTGCTTGGTACTGAAAGAGTTAGTAAACATTGTTGCATATATCTGAACAGCAGATAATACTCTCATGCTGTCCCTTGTTGTAACTCCCCAGTTAATGTCATCAATGTTTCGGCTACTGTGTGCTCTAGACTCACAACAGCAAAGCCTCTTTCATAAAAATGGGTTGTAGTTTTGTTGATGTGACTGCATCTGTTGCTGACTGGGTGACGTTGAGCCCAATGGAAGCAAGGGAGCAGGCAGAACTCTGGTGTTCACGGGTGGGGTAAATCCTGGGGAACAGCTAGGAGGCACCTGTGCCATGGGCATCCGGACACCTGAACCCGCATCCTGGAACGGGTTGCTGTAGCCAGCGCTCACTGCAAATGGGTTGTTACCTGCAATTAGACAAGATCAGGATAATTAGCTGACTTCTTCTTTGCGTTCACCGGCTGTAACTGCAGATCAAAGTTCTGGTTGTTCCTCCACCTCTGGACTTTATGTCTTGTTCCAGAACCTGAGTGTTGCATGAACATCAGTTTTACAGATCTGACTTATCTTTATTCAGAATTTTGGTACCTGGCCTCTCAGGCAAATGTTGTCTGACTTCGAAGGAAGCCCCCGAATTAGTGGACTCTTACAACATGCTTGTTGGTAAGATAGTCGGCCAATTTTTTTTTAAATCACACAACAGGGCCCCAAAATCCACATTTGGATAATTAGCTTTGAATAAAAACTACTAGAAAAAAAAAGTACAGAGAAGCAAGTTAGAGAGAGACCAAAATAGAGAGGCCAGACAGCTGAGGTGGAAAAAAGAGGGACAGAGAGAGAGACAGCAAGAGAGAGAGAACATGCGCAAGAGTAGAGGGGATTAAGTTAGAACAAAATAGAGAAAGAGAGGTGAAAAAAATGAGAGAAAACGAGAGAGAGAGAAAGTAAGCAAGAGTACATGGGGTCGAGTGAGAACAAAATAGAGACAGAAACGTGAAGGGAAAAAATAGGGGGTATGGGGGAAGAGAGAGAGAGAGAGAGAGAGAGAGAGAGAGAGAGAGAGAGAGAGAGAGAGAGAGAGAGAGAGAGAGAGAGGAGGGAGGGAGAGAGGGAGAGAGAGAGGGAGGGAGAGAGAGAGGGAGAGAGAGAGAGCGAGGGAGGGAGAGAGAGAGAGAGGGAGGGAGAGAGAGAGAGAGAGAGAGAGAGAGAGAGAGAGAGAGAGAGAAATTAAGCCAGAGTACAGAGGATAGAGTGAAAACAAAAAAGAGACAGAGAGGTGAAGGGAAAACAAAAGAGGGGTTATGAGAGAAAGTGAGAGAAGGAGACAAAGCGAGAGAGTGAAAATGAGGCAACAGTAGAGGATCAAGTGAGAAAAGAACAGAGAGACAGCGATTTAAAGGGGGTATAAGAGAAAGTGGGAGAGGGAGACAGAGAGATAGAGAGAGAGAGAGAGAGAGCAAGAGCGAGAAGCTGGGAAAGAGCGGAGAGGATGAAGTGAGAACAAAACACGGAGATGAAGAGACTGAATCTAATTTGTCACCTTTGGTGGGAGCAGATGAAACAAGCTCATCCAAGTTAACCAGGTTGGCGTGCCCTCCCAAAAATGTTTCAGCACTTTTCTTCTTCCCTTGTGGCAGATTCTGGCCCAAACCATCCATGTTGAAGGCATCCCCATCTGATCCATGAGTCTGAGATACACCTAATGAGGAAAGATTTGAATATTATAAATACTCATGAACCAACATGTTCATTTTGTATTTTAGTTAGAAGAATTAATTCACTTATTTTATTATATATCATTTATTTACCATAAAAGAGATGAAGCCTTATTACAGGTTTTTGAAAAAAGAGTCATACGACGAATCTTTGGACCCATCAAAGATGCAAACAGCAGTGAATGGAGAGTGACAAGCAACAACGTAACACATAATCTGTTTAAATCACCATTGATCACTGGCATCATAAGAGCTAATAGACTGTGAGATGAATGGTCACAGACCACGAGGACGATGGAGAAATAATGTCCAGACAGACCTGCAAACACTTGGTATCACCAACAGGAAAGAGAAGGCTCACCAACAGGAAAGAGAAGGCCCACCAGATAGATGAATGGAGGCGGGTGATATCTGCAGCAATGAACCTCAAGGGCTGGGAATGCTGAAGAAGAAGTAGATATACCATTTTTGCAGTAGCGTGTGATTAATGCGATTCAGTGAAATATACCAGGCATTAAACTGTGCAATCAATTGTTTGCATCTTCTTTGTTCAAATTTACAACAGGGAAATGATGCTTTATAATATTTTTAACCCGTGTCTCAACGACATCCACAGGAGAGCGCGATATGACAGAAATAAAGGAAGACCAAAAAACACATGGACAAGGGAGCTAGAGAGCGAATATAAAAAGATAAGAAGACATGGGGAAAGCTGCATGCGATAGCGAAGGATAAAACAACTTGGCGTGAGTTGGTTGAGGGCCTATGCTCCATTGGGGGTTAGAAAGGCAGAAGAAGAAGAAGCATAGTAAAACATGTGTCCCACCTGATAACAGATCAAAGTCTTCCAGCCCTCGTGAAGATGATTTTACTGGCGATGCATCTGTACTTCGAGCACTCAGCAAATCAAACTCACTGTCTATACTGTTAGCCATGCTTCCGTTTGCCACAGTACCTTGTGGGACTCCAAAGGCATCAAAACCAGCACTGACAATGCTGTGCTGTTGCCCTGCAGATGAAGAACCACCCCAAGGAGATCCACGTGAAGTAGGACTGGAGCTTGCCCATGCTCCTGGGGAAATAGATTAGTACAAGGTAACTGACAAAAATGTAAGTCTCCTTCTTCTTCTTTTCTCTACTCCTGGAACGCCTCGCGGCGTCAGGGCAGGAAGAGATCTCTGGAACAGGCCTTTCCGTTGGCTTCATATTCAGCACTTTTCAGTGTCCCTGGTATTTCCGTGGTCCATCTTCTGCGTGGTCGATCTATGGTCCTTTTACCATTGTATCTGTATAACACTGCTCTCTGTGGTGCCCTCTCTGTTGCCAATCTTGTTACATGGTTTAACCATTTAATTTGTCATCTACCAATAAAGTTCATTATTGGTTCTGACCCTCGTATCATCGTTCTAAAGTTGAGATTTCCTTGTTACGTCCAGCATGATAAATAAAAATTTCATTTTTGTCAGAAATATTTTGTTTTTGTCTTCTGAAGACAGAAATGTCCATGTTTGACACTGACAGCACAGCGTTGGTAAGAATATTGTGTTGAACATTGCTATTTTAGTGCTCATATAAAAAATGTAAGCTGAAAAAAAAAATATGTGAAAGCTAGTGGCGTGCGGGAATAACTAAAACGACTTTTCCCACAACAAAAGGTTACCTATATTTAACAATAAATATCTAATAAAAACCATTGTATGGCCAACTTTATGCTGCTAGTGTCAAGCATGGGCCGTTGCTACAACTAATAAGTGCACAAATCATAACATTAGAGATGAGATGTCTTAGAAGAGATGTAGGAACAAAAAATCTTTAGTTTCAAAAGTCCACAAATTGAGCATGTGGGCTCATCTCATATGCAGCTCTTCCAAGCACTCATCTTTCAGACCACAAGTGCAAGTTATCAATAATGCATGTTATGTCTGCATAAAAATATATATAATGAAATAATGTGCATACACAAACACACACACACACTATATATGCACAATCATACACATTCAAAAATACACACGTACACATACTCTTACAAGCTCTGTCACACATATTTAAGTGTACGCGCACACGCACGTGCACACACATACATAGATGCATACATAAATACATACATACATGCATGCATACATACATGCATGCATACATAAATACACACATACACACATGCATACATACATGCATGCATACATAAATACACACATACACACACCCATAAATACATACATACATAGGATAACAAGAAGAGATTAGAAAAAATGAACAAATCAGAAGAAGACTAGGCTCGAAATCAGCCATACAGTCAATTAAAGAGCAACTTATTAGATCTAATGAGTACATTTCCTTCTCTATCAAGGGCTTGTATTCAGCGTCACTGACTATGGTCTTGGCCTCCTAACTGTCAGCAAAACCCAGCTAGAAAGACTGGACCAAGTACAAAATGAGGCCACGAGACTCGGTTGCTCAAAAAAACACCCCCTGCAACGCCATGCGTTATGTCCTGGGTTTGCTGACGATGACTAGCAGATACAAAGTCGAACAGGTCAAGGTGTACATGAGGGTATCGGCAGACATTAACCACCCACTGCACAAAGCTATGCACGACACACAAAAAATGCTTCTCAAAAGAGGCCGCTCTTGGATGGCAAAGGTTGAGGATTTAATACAGCAGGTATGTGACCTAGACGTGATCAGTCACGGAAAAGAATGGACGAATAAACCAGTAGACATGCATGGCATCTCTTGTCGTAACACTCGGAAGGTACTGCAGGAATCAAATTCCTGCGGCTGTAGACACAGAGGTAAGGGAACTGATAGATCAGCCTTCAGACCTAGAAGATATCATCATCTACACAGATGGATTTGTGAAGCACGGATCAAGGTCAGCATGGCCATACACAGTGCAAAGAATGGGGAAAACAATACAGGAGGACAGCGGTGCTTACCAGACAACCATGTCAAGCATGACCATGGAAATAGCAGCTGCTTCTAGAGCATTAGCATGGGTATCTGAGCAAACCACTACACAGGCAGTAGTTGTATCAGACTGTATGAATATGCTTCAGAAGATAGCGACAGGCGGTATGTGCTCTCAATGGGTAGAAAGCATTCGAAAATCTAACTTAACCTCCCTCACCTGGATGTACACACCTGGTCAAGCAGGCATAAAGGGAAATAAGCGACCGGACCAACTGGCAAGCACTGCACTAAGGATTGGGGGAAGAAGCATAGACAGAGCAGATATCGTCAACGCTGTACTGACTGGCCTAGTGGATAATGAGGAATTCCTGACACTAACACAACTGCGTGACATCGGAATTAAGTATGGTGAAGCATGTCTATGCCGTCTTCTCATGGGAACAATTAGAAGAAGTACTTTGGAGTGGCTGCTGCATTCGGAGGACTGAGCACATGGGAATGCCCAATGTGCAGTGACATTGAATTTGATAACATAACATCTAATGAGAATGCCCTGGCACCAAGTGCCACAGGGAAACATACTTAAGAAATTTAATAAACAAAAGACCCTTTGGAAACAAGCAACGGAATCAGTAGAGATAGAAAATTTTTATGGCCTGGAGAGAATGAGGCACCTGGGTGTAACCAGAGGGTCTGGCCGACTAACTACACTCAGAGGAAAGGCAAGACGGACTTTTAACCATATTGTAACGTAACATCAGTATTGGAACTCTGCGCTGGCTGCTGAGGATGAGGACGGAACATGCATGGGAATGCCCAGAGTGCTGTGATGTCAATTCTTGACTCAACTCAACTCAGAGTAAAGAAAATGTACTCTGGAGTGGCTGCTGCATCAGAGGACGGAGCATGCATAGGAATGCCCAATGTGCAGTATGTCAATTGTGATAACATCATTAAATAACTGATGACAAAATAAAAACCAACAAATTCACAACAGGTATTTGGAATGTCTGGACATTGGCATTAATGGGGAGGTTGGATGATGCTGTAAAGAAACTGGACAAGATGAAAATCAGTATCCTAAGAAAGAAAGAGACGAGGTGGAAGGTTCAAAAAAATTTATATATATCTATAAAGTACACTCTTTACAATACTGCACATGAGGCATATGATACCAGACTTATATTTTTATATACTAACTGGCCCTCAATGAACGTGCTCAATACCATACCGGCAGCCTTTACTTCCCAAGCCATCACCCGATATCCATTTTAGGGTGGGTTTACCTGAGAGCCAAAGTAAATTTATCCCCCTCAAACCTGCCTGGTGCAGATTCGAACCCAAGACCTTTGGGCCGACAGGTGAGCATCTAGACACTACTTTCTTCATTTGCTGCTGAAGATGGGGGACGGAGGGCTTATGGGAGTGTCCTGATTCTTAATTCAACATTCAACATAACCACTACCTTACCACACCTCCCAAATGCAAATGTACCCACCTCTATTTGTCGGAGGACTTGGTGAGCCGACTGGTACTCCCCAGGGATCAGAGGTTCCAGATGCCTGTGTGTTCCCACCAGCAGATGAGCCTTGAGGTGCCCAGGGATCTGCATTCACTGGACCTTGTCCAGGCAGCGGGCTGCTCCAAGGGTCTGCTGGTTGACTAGACTGAATGGGAAAGCCCCAGGGATCACTGGCGGCAGCCCGAGAGCCCGAGGTGCTGGTCCCTGCTAGGTCTAGAAGGGTGCTGGGCTGAGTGTTGTGCTGTAGAGGACAATGATTTACAAATAAATGCTTGGTCAATGTTGGAGATTAACTAGACAATGAATAATGTAAGGCTGATAAGAATGACAGAGGGATTTAAAAGGTATGATAGAATCACTAATGTAGAGCTCTGAGAGAGAACTGAACAAGTTCCAGTAGACAAGAGGTAAAGAAAAGACACTGGCATTGGATAGGACACTTGTTAAGAAAACCTGAGAACAATACAACTAGAATGTCCTTTCACTGGGACCCATAGGGATACAGAAATGAAGGAAGACCCCCCCCCCCCAAAAAAAAAAAAAAACACGGAGAAGGGAGCTAGAGAGTGCGGTAAAAAAAGATGGGGAAGCAGCATGCGACAGTGAAGGATAGAACAACCTGATGTGAGTAGGTTGAGGGCCTATGCTCCATTCAGGGGTTAGAAAAGCAGAAGCAGAAGAAGATAGGAATGATGAGAACACAGTGGGTAGATAAAGGGCATAATGAAGCTGACTTGAAAGACATTAACCCCTGAAGAAGACTGACCATTTTCCTCAGAAGGAGACAATCTACATTTCCTCAGAAGGAGACAATCTACATTTCCTCAGAAGGAGACAATCTACATTTCCTCAGAAGGAGACAATCTACATTTCCTCAGAAGGAGACAATCTACATTTCCTCAGAAGGAGACAATCTACATTCTTTGGTCATATCATGAGGAGAAAATTGGGGTACTTCCAGACAATGGGGACAGTTGGAGGAAAACAGAGGCAGCAAGGATCAAAAGAGAACTCAGCATATTAGTATTATGGCCAGGAAGCGCATGTATGTTAAAAAGTAAAAGAGTCAGAAGGCCGTGGAAGGATGTGACTATCAACATCATAAGACACTGAGTATAAATGAAGATTTAAAAAAAATAGTAAAATCTGAGAACACAATTTACAGCAAAAATCCAAACTCATTGAAATGACAACCAGATAAGTCACCACAATATAATCAAAATGGGTAGAGAACAACCCCGTCTGGCCCTGGGTGAACGTGGTCATCAATAAATTCAACTAAAATCAGAAAGTTTAAAATAATAACAGGTAAGTTAAAACACTATTTACGCTTATTTTACAAATAATGTGTTTAACAGTGTGGGGATCAACTCAACTGCACCATGGTTTTATCCAATATGGTTCTGCCCCATGTGGTCATCCGCTGAGAGCACTGCACAATGCACAAACTCCATAACTCTGAAAATGACCCCAGAGGTTTATAAACTATCACTGGCAAACTGCAGGATACAGTGTGAAAATAACCTTCACAGCGGCAGGCGAATGGTTTAACAACTTCACCATAGAAACTACAAAAGAGTGAGAGAACTGTCTTCACTGCAGCAAGTTTGATCCCAGATAGCACAGTTTCTCTCCATCCGAGGACATCACATAAAGCATGAAAACTGTAGCTCCTGTGTCAATAATCCGAAAGCTCAAGAAAAACTGCACTCATAACCAAGTGGCATAACTTCAAACTGAACTTACAACATTCAGAGTCTGAGACAAGCAACCTGACTGACTCCTTCACCACAGAGGATCTATGTGGCAAAGTGGTTTATTACTAATATTTTTTTTTTAAATCACTGAAAAAGATCACAAAAATATCCATTGCAGTATACACACAAACATGCATACGTATGTACAACAAAGACCATCAAACTAAGAATATAACATTGTACAGGAACAAAATTCTGTCATATTCAGTCTGAAGAAGCATCTTCCTTCCAGACTGTAGGGTTTAACCTGAACATTTTCATATCTTGGATCACAGCTGCAGACATCAACTGATTCACTTACTATTTTCCAGCTGTGAGTGTCCCTTGCAATGTGTCCTGCAACCAATCACTTAGGTGTCACCTCCACAATGAAGCCTGGCTGCAATGTATTTCCCACATCTTCACCCTACTGATGAACTCTCTGAGCCCGTGCTTGTTGAAATCCATTTCTTTATGTTGTCCTCCCACTTGTAGCTGTCAATGTGTTGCATACCAGCCTTCAACCTTTGATTCTATTAGTTTTTTTTTTAAATTCATTTTACATAATGTGACTAAAACATTTTTCTTGCCTCTTTAATTTTTTTTAAACAATCCTCTCTCCCCTCCCAGTCTTACAAAAACTTCTGTGCTAAATTATTCTGATTCCATGAACTACCATCTGTTCTTCCGCATGTGAATTGTCTTTTTTTCTCGGATTCAGATCTCTTTATGAGTAAACTGTTTTAAATTACATCTTCATTACACTTTATATTTATCCACTGAGTTCTTGTCTATAAGGAAAGATGCCGACCAAGAAAGAAACATCAATGAAACACAATATGACATTAACACAAGCTACAACTAGCAACAGACAGAAAACTACATCTAACTCCTTTCTGTGACGCTTTACGACAGGCATGTCAAGCTGAGGGTCCCCCGAGGACCACGCTGTTGTATCTGTGTTGTCAAGACGGCCACAGTGACAACTAACTGGAGTCATTTTATAAAATTATTGCAGAATATTTTCTTTGTCCACATGAGCCTTGGGGGTCGCCAATTTGACATGCCTGCTTTCATGTGTGCTTTGTCCTCCTCTTCAGCAGCCAGCACAGAGTTCCAATACTAATGGTACCGGTGGTAATCTGGTCATATGTCCGTCTTGCCTTTCCCCTGAGTGTAAAGAGCTGGCCAGACCCCCTGGTTAACACCCAGGTGCCTCATTCTCACTGGGCTATAATAATCTTGTTTCGCTTCTGACTCCATTGCTTGTTCCCAAAGGGCCCTGACCACATCTGCCTTGCCATGTATCAATTCACCACCCAGTGGTGCAGATCCAACTAATCTGTCTGCCTGTTCATTTCCCTCCCACCGGCATGGCCTGGAGAAAAGATCCAAAGTATGCTCACTACTCATGACCTTGCCAGCGTAGCCTGCCATTCTGCTCAAAACATCCCTGTCTTAACTTGAAGCATCCCAGTTGCTACCTTTTTCAGAGTCTCTTACAGTTATGACATGTGTATGCATCTAGAAGTTCATGTCAATCTATGAAACAAAATCTCCCTTTTATGCATCAAGATTGGCTGTAGATGTTACATATATGTACATAAAAGAAGCATGTAAATGGCTTTGTTTAGCTCTTACATAAATGCTCACAAATGGAGAAAGTATGAAGCAGGCTAGAAATTGAACATAACAATAAAAAAATAGAAGAGTTGCTCTAAGGCTGAAGATAACAATTGCAGCTACGCATGCTCAAACACTACATGGAATAAATTATGCACAGATAAATCATTTCAATAGAAAATCACAGCTAATCATAAACACACAAGTTAGTCCTGGTGGTGACCACAGTGCAAATACTTGAGTCAATGGCATTTTGGCACAGCAAATACTTGAGTCAATGGCATTTTGGCACAATCTAGCATGTACAATTTTTTAGATACTCTTAACCCGCTGTAAAAAGTTCAAAACTAAGCTTAAGTTATGATACTAACAACCTGCTGTAAAAAGTACAATCTAAGCTGAAGTTATAATGATACTCACAACCCGCTGTAAAAAGTACAACCTAAGCTTAAGTTATAATGATACTACCAACCCGCTGTAAAAAGTACAACCTAAGCTGAAGTTGCAATGATACACTCAACCCGCTGTAAAAAGTACAACCTAAGCTGAAGTTGCAATGATACACTCAAAACGCTGTACTAAATACCACAACAACCTGTCAAAGTTAGAATAATCCTTATGTGTTTGGAATGAGCTAGATTTTGCGTATTCAAACACAGGCTTCCTTGTGTGGGTTCCGGGACCCTATTATAGGGGAAAACAAGAACAGACCCACTGCCTACCCAAAAGCATGTCGTAAGAGTCGACTAATTGGTAGCTTTCTTCAAAGTCGGAGTGCATCTGCCTGAGAGGCAAGGAACCAGCAGTATGCATTCAAATGAGTCCGATTTGTGAAACGGATGCACATGCAACACTCAGGTTCTGGAAACAGGACTGCAGTCCAGAAATGGACAAACAACCAGAACTTTCCGCTGGAGTTTACAGCTGGTGAACGCAAAGAAGATGAATAAACACAGGATAAACACAGTCCCAATCAGAACACAGAAACATACCAAACATATCCATGCACACTCTATGCTACCAGTTCTAGACATAGTCACTCATAACAAACCAAAAAAGACAATTTATAACCATGGAAATAAAATGTCTGAGACAGGCTGCAAAAGTGATTAGAAGAGATAAAGTTAGGAATTAAATCTAAGGAGAAAACATCAGCACAGAAATTATAGGCTACAGTTCGCCCACTTATTGAGAATGCCTGGTGATGCAATACCAAGAAAAGCATACATGAAAAAAGGATATCATAGATTATGATGGATGGCTCTAATCTGATATCACAAAATATGATGTATGGCTCTAATCAGATATATTAAAACTTGATGGATGACTCTAATCTAATATAACATGACGGATGGCTCTAATCTGATATCATAGACCATGATGGATGGCTCTAATCTGATATCATAGAATATGATGTATGGCTGTAATCAGATATCATAAAACTTGACGGATGGCTCTAATTTATCACAGAATATGATGCATAGCTCTATTCTGATATAAAACATGAAGAATGGCTCTAATCTGATATCATATAAAAATGATGGATGGCTCTAATCTGATATCATATAAAAATGATGGATGGCTCTAATCTGATATCATAGAATATAATGGATGGCTCTAATCTGATATCATGGAATATGATGGATGGCTCTAATCTGATATCATAGAATATGATGGATGGCTCTAATCTGATATCATAGAATATGATAGATGGCTCTAATCTGATATCATAGAACATGATGGATAGCTCTAATCTGATATCATAGAACATGATGGATGGTTCTAATCTAAGAGAATATGATGGATGGCTCTAATCTGATATAATAGAATATGATGAATGGCTCTAATCTGATTTAATAGAATATGATGGATGGCTCCAATCTGATATAATAGAATATGACGGATGGCTCTAATCTGATATCATAGAATATGATGGATGGCTCTAATCTGATATCACAGAACGTGATGGATGGCTCTAATCTGATATCATAGAACATGATAGATGGCTCTAATTTTATATCAAAGAACACAATTCATGGCTATAATCTGATATCATAGAACATGATGGATGGCTTTTATCTGATATAGAACATGATGGATGGCTCTACCCTGATATCATATAACATGATGGATGTTTCTGATCTGATATCATAGAACATGATAGATGTTTCTGATCTAATATCATAGAACATGATGGATGTTTCTGATCTGATATCATAGAACATGATGGATGACTCTTATCTGATATCACAGAACATGATGGATGGCTCTAATCTGATATCATAGAACATGATGGATGGCTCTAATCTGATATCATAGAACATGATGGATGGCTCTAATCTGATATCATAGAACATGATGGATGGCTCTAATCTGATATCATAGAACATGATGGATGGCTCTAATCTGATATCACAGAACATGATGGATGGCTCTAATCTGATATCATAGAACATGATGGATGGCTCTAATCTTATATAATAGAATATGATTGATGGTGCTAATCTGATATAATTAAATGTGATGGATAACTCTAATTTGAAATAATAGAATATGATGGATGGCTCTAACCTGATATCATAGAATATGATGAATGGCTACAATCTCATATCATAGAATATGACGGATGGCTCTAATCTGATATAATAAACTTGACGGATGGCTCTAATCTGATATAATAAACTTGATGGATGGCTCTAATCTGATATAATAAACTTGATGGATGGCTCTAATCTGATATCGTAAAACCTGACGAATGGCTCTAATCTGATATAATAAACTTGACGAATGGCTCTAATCTGATATCATAAAACTTGATGAATGGCTCTTATCTGATATCATAAAACATTACGGATGGCTCTAATCTGATATCATAAAACTTGACGGATGGCTCTAATCTGATATCACAGAGCATGATGGATGGCTCTAATCTGATATCATATAACATGATGGATGGCTCTAATCTGATATCATAGAACATGATGGATGGCTCTAACTTGATATCATATAACATGATGGATGGCTCTAACTTGATATCATATACCATGATGAATAGCTATTTTGGGGGGTCGAACAACTGTTTCACAGCGGTTCCTTAAGACCACCGGAAGACACATATTCACTGAAGTTATGAGGAAGCAACAAAAATAATGTTACGGTTGGGGGTCACCACAACACGAGGAACAGTAATAAAGGGTTGCGACCTTAGGAAGTTAGAGAATCACTGCTCTAATATGATACAGAACATGACTGATGGATCTAATCTAATAGAATATAAAGTGATAGATAGCTCTAACTTGATATAATATGACAGGATGAAAAGCTCTAATCTGATATCATATAACAAGTCTGACACATAGCTCAGACAACATACAAGCACTACAGAGTTTGATGCCACTGTAAGCAGTGCATGCGGCACAGACAACATGAATACATCAGTGTGCTCTTACTGAAGTCATCTGCTGCTGTCGACGTCTGTCCTATAACAAGAAGCAATAACATGTGTTCGTGTGGTGCATGTGCACTTCAAACTACTGTAATGTGTAACTACGTGAAGTGTAACAAACAGGATTAAAATATAATTTAGTCAACAGCAACGTGGATGTGGATGTCTGAGGAAAATGATAATGGGGGGAAGAAATAACAGAAATGCTGGGGCAAACACTTTTATCAACAGTTTCAAGACAGAGAAGATGGCGCTATACTGGACACATTCTGAGAAGAAACCAGCAGAGAATCACCAAACAGGCACTGAAGTGGGAAGTAAAGGGATTGAGGAGCAGGGACACCCAAGAAGAAACCTTGAAATGAATGTTGATGAGTGTTGTGTGCAAAAGTCACTCTGGTGTGTAAAGAGTTAATGAAGCCAGGGCTTCGTGAGGCATGGGTGCACTCAGGCATTCATGCTGAGTTGATGGATTATTAGGGTAAACACTGGAAGAGAGTAGAGCGTCAGTCACTTGGAGTTGGTGAAACATGTGTCACTTGAAGTTCATGACAAGCATGTGGACATGTCACCATGGTCCATCATTGTGATATTGTCAAATCCGTGTGAGTAACACATCCCACCAAGTGTCCAGCGTGTAGGACTCACTCCAGTCACGTAGCAGAGCTCCCTCAGATGACACAACCACTACTGGGTTCCTACAGGCTACAGGAGAGCAAGGAGAGTAGCAAATATCACTTCAAACGTCCTGAGTAGCCTCCTTTTGATATTTCTAAAGGTAATGCCGATGTGTTGGGAAATAAACAGGCAGATAGACTGACTGGTTGTGCGCCATTTGGTGGAGTACTGATGCAAGATAGCCCAGATGTTGTAAGGGCCCTTCCGGAGTGAGTGAACAGTGTGCAGGCACAAACAGATAATCACAGCCTGAAGAGGATGACGCTACAAGGAATTACCAGGGGATCTGGCCGATGAACAACACTCAAGAGGAAGGAGAGACGGATATACAGACTGTTACTGGTACCCTCAGAACTGGAACTCTACCGTGCTGCTAAAGATAAGGACGAAGCGCTTATAGGAATGTCCCAAGTACCATGATGTTGATCCTTAATTCAACGCCACATAGAGCTCAAAGTCTAGTCTTTCATTCCATTCTACTTCTCACTATTATGCAAGTTTCTGTAGGCAACTTCTTATTACAGGGTGAGGTAGCTAGCCACACACCAAATCCCCCTCTTTTCTCATCCAGGCTTTGGACCAGCAATACAGACATTATCAGAAGATTATTAGATGGAGCTACAGAAATTAAAAGCAGATATGTTCTCATGCTTTACTGACTGACTACCAAAAAAAAAAAAAAAGTGAAATGTGAGTAAATAATCTCTACCAGAATAATTAAATATTAATGGCATCTGTTTCTTTAGGTTTTCTTTCTAGGCACAGATACAAAAGCATGGGAAAGAGTTACAAAGAGCAGAGGACAGATTCTCTTTGAAAACGGATGTGGAAACTGGATTGGTGCTCTTTGAGCCCAATCTGATTTTTAAAAAAAACTGAAAACAAGAGGCACAAGTAGTATAAAATCTCTCCGTGTGGATCCAGAGATCCACTGTGGAGAAAACAAGAATAAAACCAACTACCTCCACAACAAGCATGTCATAATAGTCAACTAATTGGGGACTTCCTTCAAATCAGAGTGCATCTGCCTGAGAGGGCAAGGAACAAACAGTTTACATACAAATAAGTCAGATCTGAAAAACATACACACATGCAACACTAAGATTCTAAAACGAGACTAAAGAAAAGAGGTGGACAACGAGCATAACTTTCCGCCAAAGTATAAAGAGGTGAGCACGAAAAAGAAGAAGAAATGCACATACTTACTGCAGGCCCCGCCTCATCTTACCAATGCAGAAACTGTGACAGAGTATGTCACTGTTGCACTGAGCGATTCAGGCGCATGCCTGACAAGAGGCCTACTAGTGGCAAACATCTGAGAACCACATAAAGCTGACAGTTTATTCTTCCACTCCAAGGGGAGCTGCGTGGTCTCGAGGCATGGTGTTGGCCTCAAGTGCTAGAGGTTCTGGGTTCAATCCCCAGTGAGGGCTGGGATTTTTTTCACGTGGACTTGGACTTCTGGTAATTTCCCCTGGTCTCTGGGTAATGAGATCAGACGAATGTGTGCATTGTTGCACACATACAAAATCCCTTGGCAGTTGGAAATCAAAAAGAGTAGCCTAGCAGCGCTGCCCGGGCAAAATTTGGAGTTATAAATCTACCCAAAGTATTTTCAGGATCCTCGCCGGTGCTCCAGAGCCTGTGCACTGTGCTGAGCTTCTTCGGACTCAGACTTGAGTTAGAAGAAGAACGGAGCATTTATGGGTTACTACATGATGTTGATCCTTTGTTCAAACTTCTTTCACTCCATTATGCCCTGTGCAAATGTTTCAATATCATGGAGGGAATCCAGTCCAGCGCCTTTGGCCTCTCCCACCCACATTCACTCATACAAGTTAATACAAAAATTAATATTTTAGTGATTTGATTGCCGTGGTGTCACAATAGCTAGCATGCATGCCTGCCTGCTTAGTGGTCATAGGTTTAAACCCCCTGGATTTTTATTAAAACTGATCAAAATTTCAAATTTCTTCTGCTTCTTCTTCTCTTCTACTAGTTTCTTTGTGTAGAGTTCAGAGGTTTATAAGGTTGCGTTTTTTTTTTTTTTTAATTTTTAAAAGGGTCATTATTTCAGATTCTTATAGGTTTTTTCCGGCAGAGTTAAGAGATAGATAAGCATGCGTTTCTTCTCAATAAAAAATTTTTTTTAAAAAGATCCTTATTTCAGATTCTTACAGGGCGAAAGAGTTAAACATCCTGTCCTGTGAGTGGTAAGTTACCTTAAGCCAAGTATTCAATTATAAGTCACCCTTACATTTTTCGCTTGTTCCTTGCTTTGTTCTATGGCCATCTGCAGTTTGATGTCATCAGATTTTTGTTTGCGAACAGCTTCTTCGTGCTCCTCTTTGCTCATAGCCAAGGCCAACTGGAGCTGTAGCTCCTCTTCCCCGGCAGAAGAGGGTCGAACACTCTCTATCTCTGAAGGAGATCCTGCACTGCCAGAGCCAGGTGAGGCTGAAACAAAACACAAGATTCCATATGTACAGTCAAAATGGTAGTCTGGCGAGGCTCAAACATAACTGATTTGACATGTACAGTCTGGCGAGGCTAAAACATAACTGATTTAACATGAGCAGTCTAAATGGTACAGTCTGGTGAGACTAAAACATAACTGATTTGACATGTAGTCTAATGGCACAGTCTGGTGAGGCTGAAACAAAACATACATTATTCATGTATAGTCTAATGGCACAGTATGGTGAGGCTGAAACAAAACATACATTATTCATGTATAGTCTAATGGCACAGTATGGTGAGGCTGAAACAAAACATACATTATTCATGTACAGTCTAAAGGCTACAGTATGGTAGGGCTAAAACAATGCACAGTTTCAACTGGTGGCACTCTGATTCTGAAGACAGGTGAAAAGGGAAAATTACGGCCAATGTCCAGTGTACAACAGGATGCCCCATACCTGACCACAGGTATCAGCATCCTCAGTGGCTGTTTTATGTAACCTCATGCAAGACTCCAGCCACACATCTGTGCCATGACAATGTCATGACCTATAGTAGTCTTAACAGAGTCTGTAGGGGATCTTGGAGCTAATGGCCCCAATAGACGCAGTGTCAAGAAAACCTCTGGCACTCATCAGCCCACCTTCTGTGCACACGTGACTGTCAGCATTGTTGATTGTTTTTTTTTTTAGAGTTGATTGTTTATTTTAGTAATCATCTTCATCGCACATCAGACATGACCATAAGTGTTCCGATCTCCTGAGTATGTCTCCTAAGTGTTTTTAGGCTAACAACTTGCATTCTGTTCTGGCTGATGTAACGACTGGTGGCTCCCGCATGGTTTTCCTGTTTCGTGGCTCCAATTGGTACACCCGGAATTTGCAGCCTTTTCAGTGAAAAATCATTTTCCATGAAACTGAAAGCCTCATAGTGTTTAGTCTCTCATATGATATTGATGCTGTCCATACAGGGCCCATTCCTGATAGTCGCACTGCCAGCCAGAGTGTCTGCTCTCTCATTGCCTTTCACACAAGCATACTATGAAAAGAGACTGTCAACAAATCACTGTAAAACGAGTGAAGTCCACAAGCCAAGCCTCCCACCTGATACCATAGGTTTAAAATGGCCAGTTTAGAGATAGGATGGCATTTCCTTTGAAGTCGGGGTGCATTTGCCTGAGAGGCTAGGAAACAAAATAAGCCAGATCCTTAAAATGGTTGCCCAGTTACTCAAGTCCAGGAACACAAATAAAGTCCAGAAAGGGTCGAACAACCAGGTTCGTTCTGTTTCTTTGCTCAACAACAACAATGTTTAACCAGCATCCTTGAAGGAGGAGGTTTGGGTTATAACTGTGACTAAGTTATGTGCACCATATAAAATGGCCTTGCACTGCTCACCCAAAGTAACTCTGAGAAGACAAATACTAGTGTTAATGCAATCAAAGGGGACAGACCTAAATACTGTCCCAACTGGCAACGAAGTCATCTACCGGCCAGCCAATGGGCATTCAACACATACAGTCTGCCACTAAGGGCTTTAACCCTGTCGCTCCAAGAAGCCGCAAAGCTGATACTTCCAGTTGGGGCCAGTTTCCCATAAATGCTACTTTTTTTACGTGTCCATAGTGATCTGTTCATGGCACACATAGTTAATGCTATTGGCTGCGTTTGCGCCTACATTTTTTTTTCAACATTAGTGAAAGAAAGAAGTATCCACAAGGAACAATACAAATAATACTCAGTCTTTCCAGTGTGGGTTCTAAAGCACATTGGGGGGGGGGGGGGAGGGGGGGATAAATACACCCCCCCCCCCAATCTCCTATCAGCATGTAGTTAAAAAAAAACAGCAATTTATTAGGGGTTTGATATGTTGGACCGAAAGGCTCTGATATCATAGCCTTGCTGTAAACAACAACACAGCATGCCGGCTGCCCTTTTAAATTAGAACGCACAAGCAGAAGAAGATACTCACAGTCTGGGTATCCAGGTGAGTCTTGATGTCCCTCGAGAGACGTTGGACTGCCTCCCAATCTTACCTGTTTGAAAAGTTTGGTGAATATTGTTAAAGAAAAGAAACAATTACTTTCAGGAATAAAATATTTGTACGCTGTCATCATCATCATCTTCAATTGTTTAAATCAAGCATTGTGGAGATGAGTAGTTTGTGGTGGTTCTTCCTCTTCTTAATCTTTGCATCAATAGGCTGTAAAATCTGGCAGAAAGTTATAGTTGTTTATCTACCTGTGGTCTTTTTTCTCACGTATTGGGCCACGTATTTGTGTCAACAGGCTGTAAAATCTGGCGGAAAGTTCTGGTTGTTCACCCACCTGTGGACTTGAGTCTTGATCCATAACTTGAGTTTTGAGTGCACATCCGTTTTACAGATCTGTCTTATATGTGTGCAGACTACTGGTTCCTCATCTCCGTGACAGATGCTCTCTGGCCCTGAAGGAAACACACCCACCTAGTCCCCTTTTATGACATACTTGTTAGGAAGCAATGGGTCTATTCTCCCCCCCCCCCCAAAAAGGGGGTCTCGGAACCCAGATGAGGAAGCTAAAGGTTCAATTTTCAATGGGTGGTAATGGCTGCTGTCAAGAAGGATCTTTCTTCTCACTTATCTGGTCATGATTTGCCACCCCTTAAAATCATCAGAATCACAGACAAGGTCAGTGCTCTTGTTCAGCTTGTCAATGAAAACTTACTATAGTTCTTTCATGAGACTCTTTTCTTAAAACTCAATTCAGTTACTTCAACTTTTATACAGAAGAATGGAAATCACAATCCATGGTGACGGGCAATGAAAGCCAGGGATAAAGTTTCTCCTCTCCAAAGCACACAGCCGGGGCAGTATTGCAAAGACCATGTGTTGCCCAGGCATGATTCCTTTCTCAGCATATCTTGTTGACTCAAAAGAAAATCTAGCACCTATACATTTGGAAAAAGCATGCTGCAAAACCTGCTGGATCAAATCAACAGCGCCCTGTCTGTCTACCTGTCTGAACTTCCCCTTTTTTTTTAAAAAACCCATCCCGTACCAAAAAAAACTGAGGCTAAGGGTCTTAGGGGTAATAAATGACACAGGCAGAAAGGACCCAGCCTAAAATAGGTACTACGAAATGTCCTGGGAAGTAAAGGCAGTCAGTGGAATTGTTACATTACCCATCATTGGCTCAGGGGTCTTTAAAAATTTGGGTCTAGCGCCCGCTGCTAGCATGAAAGGGGGTCATTACTTTTTTACTTTCAGAAAGAAAGAGTGCTGACTTAGAGGTTTGCCACGCAAGCAATGGATAGATGGAATACCCAAGGCTGTTAATACCAGCATCTATATACTCGAAGCCTCTTCAAAAACTGACAAGGAAAGGCAGAATAGGACCACAGAAGAAGATGAAGAGGGGGAAAAAGAAGAAGAAAAAGAAGAGGAAGAGGAAGAAGAAGAAGAAGAAGAAGAGAAGGAGGATGAGGAAGAGAAGAGGAAGAAGAAAAGAGTGAGTAGCGCAAACTTTAACTTTGAGCTACAAACCTATGCCTGTGGCAAAAAAACATTTCATTTAATCAATTCTGTCACCTGATGTTAAATTTAAAAGCAAACTTGGCGTAATTTACATGAACAACTTACACGAGATTTGCCGCTAGTCTGTTCATTGCCCACTCCCATGGCATTCTGTGCAAACCTCTCTTTGGCCTTCAAAGCCTTCGCTCGCTCACTTTTCAACTTTTCATCGTCAGACAACATGGTCACCAACTGTTTGGCTTTCTCCCGGACATTCATGCCCTGGTCCTTGTTGTCAGCATCAATGTGTTGAAAGCTTGTTAGTGTTTTAATAACATGGAAGTTCTCCTTACACTGCTGGGCCACCTGAAAAAAAATTTCCAATAAATATGTGGTAAACTGTTAAAAAAAAAAAAAAAAAAAAGAAATCAACAACATAAAAAATATCTAGAAAATGTATCCTTATCAACAAATGCAATCAATTAAATCATCAGATACTGTCTCCACAATAAAAGACTGACAGCAACTGGATCTTCAACAACCCCCCCCCTCCTCCCTCTTTGTGTGTGTGTGGTAGTTAGTACATTCTGTAACTGCAGCTTGTCTATCTCTTCAAATTATAATCCCACTTATATCACTGTTTACCTATTACTTTCCTGCCTGTAACTTTCTCCTTCAATGTGGTTTTTAGCAGGAGCTGTAGTAGTGCAGTGGCTAAATACATGCCTGCTGGCCAAAAAGTTTTGGGTTCGATTCTGCATGGAGATGGATATAAAAAAACAAATCTGACTTTGTTTCCCATATTGGCCCAGCCCACAGTGGATACTAGGTAACACCCTGAGAAGTTGATCACATCACCCACCAAGCTGATTTGTCTACAAAAACATGTCTCAGATCATATTCCTGATGGGAATTTTTTTTTTAATGCTCTACATAAAAGTGCTAAATTGTTCGGTTCTATCCCAATATATCCCCCCCCCCCCCTAAACAGACAAATATGTTAGGGGGTGGAGATAGGCTGCATGCAGTCATGGGACCAAGGCTGCATGCTGTTGTGGGACCTAGGTTGCAGCAGTCGTGGGACCTAGCTTGCACTCTCATGTGTCGTAGGTGGGTTGGAGTTAGGCCCAGTTCTAGATGTTTTGGGGTAGTTAAAAGCATCAGAAAGCTGGGAAACCCGCTCTTACCATCCTCCTGTGACATCATCCTGGGGGAAGATATTGGGAAAGCACACATTTTTCTATGTTGCTTAATTATTTACGATATCTTCTTCTCAAAAGTCTGTGTCACCTAGCATTAGTAGTCATGTTCTGTCTCATGTACTTTAAATCAAATCCGACATAGTTGATCTCCCAAGCCCTGACTTCAAACCGTCCAGCATCTTCTCTTTCTGTGGTTCTCCCTCTGCCTATTTTTCCCTGCAACTTTCATACCGTCATGATGTACTTAAGTTTTCGCCTTCTCATGAAATGACCAAAAAATTGATTGTCTCCTTCTAATGCAGGAGATAAGTTCTCTTGATGAGTCAGTTGCTTTCAAGACAATGTACACAATAATTAAATATGTCACCACAATGAGGTGCACATTATAAACCACTGACTGATATTAAACTTTCAACTTTATGGTAAGATTCGAACCCAGTAACCTCTGAACACGATGTGCACACAACAGCCTATCAATGACACTTCCTCCACTGCTTAATTTAAGCGTATGAAACAAATTCTTAGTCAGAACCACAAATAAATATAAATCATAATAAAATATATTCTTCTTCTGCATTCGCTTTTCATGCTGTGGTTACAGATAGGCTTACAAAATTGTGCCTGTTGTTACAACACATCCTATTTCAACCGCCAATTACTGCCTTCATTTTACCACTTTTGCAGTGTAGGCGGGGGGAGGGGGCGGGGCTCTTTGAGCCTGAGGATTTATGGCCGCACGGCTGGTGCTGTCACCACGTCTGTACAAGTGAGGTTGCCTCTGACAGAAAAATCCCCAACCTTACTGAGGATTCGAATCCGGATCTGAGAGCCCAGCATTCTAACTTTTCAGTCAGCTGCTCCTCTCCGATTTCAATATATCCCAAATTTGCTGACTTTTATAACAAGTCTATTATTGGGGCAGTGGGTTTATTATCTCCGCTCCCCCCCCCCCATCTGCAACTGGGCCCCCGAACCCATAATGGGAATAAAACATGTCATTACAATGACAGGCACATACCTTCTCACTCCCAGTTTTAATGATATAGTCCAGGACAACCAGAGACTTGTAAACATGCCTCCAGTTCTTGCCATCGTCATTCAGCCGTTTCCAGACCATCTGCATGATTTCTGTAAAAGCTACCACATTGTACGTCAAATCGGCAATTTCTGACATCAATGTGCTGGATGGGCCCCAGGGGTCATTGGAAGTAGCCTCCCGAACTTTCACCTGGGCATCTGAATAGTTCTTCACTACATTTTTCAGAGTCCTCCGAATGGTAGGCATTTTGTAGGTAATTACATTAAACAAACAAACTGTCTTTACTAAATATGTGATAAAGTATGTTATAGAAAGTGCGTCCTAAGCAAGTAGGAAACAGAGGCTAAAAACATAACCGTCAGTCAAACCTGGAAACAAACAAAAAAACAAAGATATTAAAACCAATACTTCTCAACAGTTCATATGTAAATGAGCATTAAAAATGTTTTTAGCAGATTTAAAAAAAATAAATAATAATGACCATGGATTCCAAGTCAACCCAGCCTTACGTGTATACCAGGTAATGTCCTAAGAAATGAAGGTGACCGGCCTTATGCTGACCACATCACCCACTGGGTTATGATTGGTCTATGACAATATGAGACTAGCATCATATGCCTGATGCACCAGAAGTGTTTTCTTTTTAAAGTGTTTAAAAAAAAAAAAAAAAACGTCCTTTAATTAATTTTTATAAAAACCACCACCATGGAAAGCCATCAAATCTGCATTTTTATGAACATATTAAAAAAAAAAATCTCTAACTTATATTAACATCTTATTCTTTTCCTGTCTACTTGTGGAGATATGTGTGTAGGTAGTTGAGTTTTACCCACCAGGACATCACACAGAGCGATAAACACCCAGTGACACCATTCTCATGAGGATCACCCGTGGAGAGGTCCCAGAAATCCAATTAAATCATTAGGTTATATTAGAGCCCCTGGCAACAGCCAGGGTGGAGCTTCAAAATAACGAACAATTGCATCCCACAAGGAGACGACGAATGATAATTGTGGAGATATGAACCAGTTTAACACTCTCCTGTTGTCATGTCATTCACTCGGTTTTGTTTTTGTCCTTCTTCCTTTATCTGTTAATGGACTATATACCTCAAACAACTCACACCAAAACTATCTCTAGACTTAGTTTAACTGTTTCCTCAGCTAAAGATTTATAAAAGAACAGGCAGCAGTATATCAACCTTCTTTAGTCAAGGGTAATAACAAGCATCATTGATTACAGAGTAACAGTTCTTTGCTTTTAATGTAGGCTTTGCTAGCACACAAGTTTTCACCAGAATCTGTATCTGTTTACAATAACATTATTATTATTTTATTTATTATTTTCAAAACCTTATCACCTGTTTTTTTATTTATCTGTTTCAATGAACACTGAAATTATCATTATTTTGTTTATTATCTTTTCCCCTATTATCACCTGTCTTGTTTATCTGTTTATTGAAATGAACACTGACATTATCATTATTTTATTTTCGCTAGGAACATCCTCTATGGTGAATTACAAATAAGCAGATGATGTCGAGGCTGGCCTCTGCTTAGATACAAAGTGCATTCTTTAAGTAAGTCCTGGTATAAAGTTTTTTAAAAAAAGAGAAAAACCCATCATATTTACCACATGTTTACATTATTTCTAAACATAGTCATCATTGGTTGGCTCTGTGGCTAAGTCGATGCGAATGCTTTGGAATGCCGGGTTTGATCCCAGCTGCGGGCCATACGCCTTGCATTGGTTTCGACAGTGGTATCAAGAAAGCTGACCGTCCAGAAAGCAATGACAAATTACTGGACGTAAATTTGCCTAGAAAAACCACACAACAGCCAGGGGTTGTTGGGGTTGGTTCTGCAACGTCCTGTAAAGGATACAAACTAACTAACCAGTCATCATTGACTTCAACACATTTCTGGCCTCGCGGCACTAGTTTCTTAATTCCAGTGTCCAGTATGCCGCCAGTTTTGAACCATTCATTATTGCCTGTATGCAGTTCATCATCAATTTCAAACTGGTGGGATGCCAGCTACTTCTTTAAAGGCATGAAAAAATGGTAATCACTTGGCGCCAGATCGGGGCTGTAGGGCGGTGGGCTGTCAACAATTTCCCATTAAATTCTTGCAACAACTGAACATTCCATCTGCAATGTGAGGTCAAGTATTATCCTGCAAAAACACAATTCCAGAGGACAGCAACCTAGCTCTTTTGTTTTGGATGGCACATCTAAGTTATATCAGTGTCACCATTAGCTTTGGCATCAACTGTCTTTCCAAATTCAACAAAATCAATTTAAAAAAAAACCCTTTTTTTTGTCCCATAAAAAAGTGGCCATGATCTTTTTAACAGAAGGTGCTTGCAAAAACTTCTTTGCTTTAGGGGACCATGAGTGTCACCATTGCAGCAACTGTTGTTTTGATTCGATGTTTGCGTAGGAAATCCAGGTCTCATCTTTAGTAACAATGGGCCCTAAAAATTCATCTTCTTCATTTTGATAGCGCTGCAAAAATTTCAAAGTCAAAGTCAGTCATTTCCACTTATTTTCATCCGTTAACATCTGGCACATTATTTTTTTTAATCTATGGTTTCTTGTCACAATGGCATAAATCAGTGAAAACTTCAGAAAATCGACAAGACAACGCAGAAATTGTGAAACGGCGATTTTCCTGAATTTTATTTGTTCATTTCTTCAACCAAATCGTCTGTCACCACACTTGACAGAGCGCAATGATTTTCATCATGGATATTTGATCGCCCTTCTTTTAACATCTGACACCGCTTCCTAACCAAACTATTAGTAACATCTGGCCCATAAATCTCAATGAGTTGCCTGTGAATTTCTTCAGCATTGTTATTTTTTTGCTAACAAAAAACAGATCACAGCGCAAACCGTGCAGCCGGCGGGAGTATTTATTTTTGCACTCATAAATCACTCAAAAGCAGCATCAAACAAGATTTCCACAGTGAAAAATAGCACACAGCTAGCTAATGTACCAGATACACATACTGCATATGCACATTTACATTTTCCATCAGTGTTTGTCGATGAGGTCAGAACGGGACTTACTTAAAAAACATGCCTCGTATAAAGATGTGTACAAGTTGGACATGACTGATACAGATACGGAGGTAGATTTGTGAGAACAGAATGCAATGGACCATGTTGCATGGAGGGGTCACATCAGGAAGGGAATGAGAATGAAGGAAGAAATGAATGCAGAAAGGATGAGAGCTAAGCGTCTAGAAACAGACTAAACACAAATGTTGAGAACAACGGCGCTGAAATCCTATGCTTCAACTGTGGAAGACTTTTCTTATGCGGGCGGGTCCTGCTAGTCACACGCGCCATCGCCTGTGGGTCCCATGCCTCCTCATAACACAATATAACACTATCGTCTGGAAAGATGAAAAGGTGCCAATCATTACTACACACACTGAGTCAGCATCAGTATCTGAGGCATTGTGAATGCACTTCCTAATGCTGGGGTGCTGGGTTAGATGCTAGTTGCAGGCAATTAGACAGCAGACCATCTTGTGTTAGTTTCGACAGTGGTACCGAGAGCCGACCTTCAGAAAGCAATGGCAAACTAGTGAATGTAAAATTTGCCTATAAAAATTACAACAGCTAAAAAAATGTGAGGGTTGGTTCTGCAATGTCTTGTAAAGGATATACACTCACTGGTGTCGCTGTGTTACCATTAATGTATGTTTGTATTTTTAAGAATTCATGACTTTGGGAAACACTACTCAAAGATATTTTTTGTTAGACATCAGCTGCAACTGGACCACATATGATATTAACTCTTTCTTTGACAAACAACCCACCATGTTTTTGAGTCATTCCAAAGAAAGTAATAATTTTGCTGTATTTTATTACACAGAGAGATTAGTTATATTCATCTTTTGTTTCCTACTTATTAGATTAACTACATCTGTTCCAAAGTGTCTATATATGAAAGTGTTTTTTTTTTTTTTTAAGAATTCAGAAACCGTGAGTTGTTAGCCCTTTGGCTCGGTACTATGGATATCGCAACCCCCAGGCCTTGATTCCATGATAGGTACCATAAATCTGGGAGAAATGTGGTTTTTCTGCCCACCCCCAGGCGTGAACCCAGACCACAAGGAGTTCATCACCCGGTCGCCGCGAAGTCCGGTTTAACCAACTATGCTAGCGAGCCAGGCATATTATTACATTCTTAAAAATGTAATGCCCAACCATATTTTTAATGGCAAATGATGACAACGAAAAAGAAGAAGAAGCAGAAGAAGAAGCAAGAGGAGGAGGAGTAAGAAGAAATTGAGGTAACTACTGCTTCAAACTGAACAGATTATGGACTGTAAAAGTTGTTGAAAAAAAAAATATTAATAGTTTCTATGAGATCAACAGCTTTTGGCATGGCTGAATGTATATAGTTGAGATTCAATATCATAGCCCTCGGAACATTCCCTAGGAGCTCTGACCTAATCTTCAGCAGCAAGCACATAGTCTCAATTCTGATGGTACCAGTATCAGTCTAACTGTATATGTGTATCCTATTTCCCCTAAGTTAGCAATTTTTAATATTTTTCGAGCTGCTGCCCCATTTAATAGAAGCTAGGTCATCCGCAAACCCATACATAAGAATAAATAAACAGGCAATCTCACAGTGTGTACCAGTACCAGTACTTCACTTGATACTTGCATTCTTTGAAACAAGCAATTCATCATTATATTAACACATACCATGTCACTAAAAAAAATAAAAACAAGACAAATCTTTCTACTTCTTTCTATGAGTGCCGTTCACAATACTTTCTGTTACTTGATTAATCCATACATAAGAAACAAATAAGGTTTTTTAATAGGATAAAAGAAAACAAATTAAAAAAGACTTTTCAGGATAATATATTTAAAAAAAAGCTAACTTATTATATACTGACTGTTCAAATTATTGCCTAGCATGCCTGCATTCCACAAATACATCTCTGTGGAGGAAGCAATGACATGATTTTGGTTTTCTTGCTTTAAAACATTTTCCAGTTCACCATTGCCGATGACCTCACACAATGACCCCACCAAAAAACCTTTGTGACCCATTTGCGGGTCTCAATCTAAGGGTTGGGAACTTGTGCCCTAAGTGTTGATCATCAAATAGATCTCCTGGTCAATCCTCACTATGCTATTCTCTTCAGACAAAAGTGATCTTTTTGTACATTCACTCTGTTCACTGGCTCCCAAAGGGTCCTCATAACATCTAGCT